TACTGCTTTAAATATGCAGTAAATTATGAGCTGCCCACAATCATACCTGCAAGATGGGTAGCAATATCAACTGATTTAATTAATAAAAAAATAAATAAAAGAAACAATTGAGAATTGCAGCCTGAACACATTTGAAGCATCCCAAACTGGAGAAGGAGTTTTACTTCACACACTGCATTAACTAAAAATGAGTACTCTTTAAAAAAAAAACTAAGATGATATTATGGCATTAAAAAAAATAACTGGCTATCTTCCATAGAAACTGAAGACATTCTACTTTGTTCAAGAAAAAGAGAGTCAATTAATTAGTTCATAAGTAATTTGGGTAATTCTACAGTCCAGTTAGTAGAACTGCTATGATATTCTGCCTACTTAATGGCTCCAGTACTATTTGATATTACTGCTTTAATGTTCACATATAGGAATATTTTACAGAGTAGTTGACTAGTCTTCTTGAGTAAACTTGCTGAAAATTGTAACATATCTTATGAAATCTGGTTGTATCTTAACTGAGAAAACGTATTCACCATTGGCTTTGAAAGAGTTATTTTAACTCTGAGAATATGTTTATGAATAATGGCTACAGTTTCTGAACTGAGGCAGTGATCAACAATTTAAAAGGAAGCATTCTAATCTCAAACAATTTTATATTCACACTTTGTAAAGTCAGTAGCTGTTTTTTAGAAGCTTACTTCTTATCAGATACTAGTAAGGATTTACTAGTTAATCAGACTTTCAGAAGAAAAGATTTGGACAAATATCATAGAAAAAAAGATCTCTCTCTGTTTGTATGTGCAGTGTAACTTATGGGAGGGAGGAACTCTTACCTCCTTCCTCTTCTGAGATAGCCAAAAACAGTCCCAGGAACAATTACCCAGGAAAGGATAGCAGGAAGGTTGACTTCAGTCAAATTGGAGGCCACACTTACTTGCACCTAGATTGCTATGTGTACACCTATTCACCATCTATGTTGCTTGCAGGGCACTTTCTCATCACACTTGGAGGACCTAATACCTATGTAGCAAAAGCTCAGTATAAAAGGGAAGGAGAGTTTCTAAACAAAGAGGTGATAGAGCTTATAGTTTTAGATACAGTAATTTATTCTGTCAGCTCATCCAAGAGTTTTCCAGAAAATAGCAGGAGAAAAATATATGGAAACTAATAAGACAGCAAAATCTTAAGATTATGACAATGAAACAAATCCATTTTTTGAACTTAATCCATTAATGGGTTCTGCACAGGCAGAGACAGAAAGGATGGTGAGGGTGATAGAAGATGTATCTTCTGCCTAAGGCTGCAAAAGTCTATCGCTCCATCCTAAGGGAATGTGTAGATACCTCTCCATTCTGATGGCGACAGTGTCGTTCTTCATATTTGCTGGTATAGCTTGATTGCTTGTCATATTTCTGTGGATATACCATCAGATCTTGTAGTCTTCTGATTTGTTAATGACCACAGTGCTATTCTCTGAGCAGTTCACCTACTAGTACTAAAAATTCTTGGAAACAGAGTATTTTGATTCTGAGCAGCTCAAGGTTTACTCAGCCTTCCATTTTTGTCTGATCTTTAAATCAGCTATTATCTGTCCATTGACATCCTTTATCAAATCTATTTAAGGTTGGAACTTTCTTCCGAGTTCCTAGAATTTTTGGAAGTTTTTGTTTTTTTAAATGTATGTTTTTTAAAATGTATCTTCAGTGTCTTCACATATGTTGTCAAAATACTTCTTGTCTCTACTAACAGTTCTGTAAAAACTCAATCTTTCTACCAAGACAAAGTATAGGGGTGAAATTTAACATCTTCCAAACAAATTGTTTTCTTCTAACCCCTGCAGCCCCTCAGACATTCTCAAAATCTGTTCGGAAGGTTTGGATGTTGAAGGGAACAAGCTAGCACCCTCGGGGGAGAGGGGGAACTGCCACCTCTCATTCCAACAACAGAATTTTTACTAGCAAAAGCAAAACTGACCTCATCCAAAACTGAATGGGAAGTATATTTTTACTCTATAGAAAGATGCCTAATACAGATTTAGAAAATTGATTCATCAAACTCAGTGTAGTTTACAATGAGCAACATTTGAGAATATCAGCAAGTTCTTCACAGTCCTAGCAAGAAGACATCTCCAAATTTTGCACGCAAGGCACATGACAATGGTCTTTTCATCAATTCTTAGCCTCACCTCCTCTTCTGTTTTATCCTGCCCCTTAAAACAACTGTTCAAAGTTATGACAGTGCTGAAAAAGTAACTTGGTGACAGGTCCTCATACCTATGACTAATGCGTCATCCCCATGGTACCATATTCACAATTTGGGTACCTCACAACTGGCAAATGTTTATGACCATCACAGTTTCCTGCATTTACTTGCATGCTTCCAACAAGCAGAGCCAATGGAGAAGTCAGCAGTAAAATCACAGTCACATTATGTCTCATTTAACAGCTGCAGAGGATCCACTTAATGACCACAATGAATTCATAAGTCCGTTGTCACAAGAAGTCTCATTTAACAACTGCTTTTCTTAATGACAGAATTGCCAGTATCAATTGTGTTTGTTAAGTGAGGGGTAGCTGTAATTAATTGAGAACTATGTTTGTCAGGGGAGGAACCAAAATGATCTCTTAGTTAGCAAAACATGCATTTCAAATGGAGCATTACCAGTTAATACTGATCCCAGAGAATAGAACCATCTATAAGGCATATATAAAATTGAAAGTTTAGTTTATGTATCAAATAACTGTGTCATTGATTAGTTTTATCACAAAAGCCTGCTAAAGGAAAAATAATAATCATTTTTATCTTCTGGCAGTTTAAAAAACTTAAATTTTTAACTATAACCTAAGCTAATCCATAAGGGTTATCTAAGGTGTCATGGGGCTGTTTTTGTTCAAAAAACTAAAATGATTGTGCCACCAAAAATTATAACGATAAAGGACTCAACAGGCAGCAATAACGTTTTATTATGCTTTTAATCATCATCAAATGAGTAATGTGAGGACATTGAAAATGTCTTATAATTTTTCAAGTCCAAAATGACAATTCTGTATAAATAATGCTACAAAATATTTAAACAGTGAACAAAACCAATAAACACGCAGTCTAAGTCAAACAATTTTTATTACCAAGAACATCATAAATGATATCTACTTGTCTTTATGTTGGATATTTCAGTATTAATTTCTGAACTTTAAATCTCATCCTTCACTTGCCAATCATCATTCTTGGGGTATTATACAGAACCAAACCATACAGAAAAGAGAATGAAACAACCATATATAGCAGAACATAGAATCCCAATAAAATCTCAGAGCTGTTCAAAAGAATTAGCACTGTTAACAAACTTACAAAATTAGGAAGGCGTTCAATTGGCTTTGGAATAATAGTATGTTCCACAGACAAGAGCATTACATGCTCCCAACTGGCAGCATGTAATGGCTGTTACTACAGAGAGCAGGGATTAACTTGCCCCCTAATTACACCATCATATCTCCTTACCTTCCAAGCAGAAGTAAACTGGATGGGCAAATGATGTAGTTAAACATTAAAAGGTAATTTGAGATTATGTCTTAGAAATATTATTTTGGTGTAGTGGTTAAAGCACCAGGCTAGGGGACCACGTGTTCTTAGTCCCACTTTAGACACGAAAGCTAGCTGGGCAACTTTGGGCCAATTGCTCTCTCTCAACCCAACTCATCTCAGCAGGGAAAATAAGAGGAGAAAGATGTATTGGATATGTTCACCACCTTGAGCTATTTGTAAAATTAATAAAGGCGGGAAATAAATAAATAACTAAATAAATAAATAAATAAATAAATAAGTTTTCTTGATTTGCTTGTCTAACAATATAGGCAATTCGTTATTGTTTATATACCTTCTCTATTTTTAGTCCTCCTGTACAAGAGGACTAATTTTTTTATATGAGCAGGAATGATAGGTGCTAATACCATATTTAAACTGGTAAGCTATATGTCAGTTTCATTTACTATCTGTCCCCTAACTTTGTGCTATACAATTTTTTTTTAAAAAAAGCTTATAGAGTTGCATCAGAAACAAACAAAAATATTACATGTGGCCATATAAATATACTAAGCTTGGCATTACTGAATGTCCTGTAGGCCTGAACTGTTTTTCCAAGATTAGCACTTTCAATTCACGCCAACACTTAATAATAGTTGCTAGTCTGTGACTTGAAAAATTGATGGTACACAGGTGAAGCAGAGATTTACATGGTTGAGGAATATGGGAAGGTCAAAGCTGCAAGGCAGTTGAATTAAAAGTCAGGCACATCTGAAAAACAAAAATCTCACGTACCAAGAAAATACACAACACAAAAGCAGACTGCCGTACACTATAGGCAGACATAATAATAGAGATTAAAATCATCCTACTGAAAATAGACCTGAGTAACTTAAACCAAACTGTTTTTGTTTAACAGATGCATTTGCATATGATACTATCTAATAAACTGATTTATTCACCCTCGTGTAACATGCTGGCTCAGGAATTCTGGGAGTTGAAGCCTACAACTCATAAAGGAGCCATAGTAGAGTAATAAAGAAAGAAACAATATTTTCAATCCTGATATGATGGTATTTTATCATGTATGTTGGAATACCAATAACACCTCCTTTGCTTCCATAAGTGATCTACTTTGCAGTGTTATGTAGGCAATGATCATAAGTTTGAAGAGTGAGAAGCAAGTGTGATATCTCTGGAGTATTCCTGTTCAAAGTGACACTGGTCATGCTCAAGCGACATGGCTACATTTAAGAAAACAGGAGGAAGCAATGAGACATTCTTTCTTCCCAGCATACTATGACAGATCTCCTTTCACTAGTCACTGATCAGTTGATTAAAGGGAAAACTAGTCAGCAATCCATTCCTTGCAGGCCAGTGGAAAAGTGAGTGGGAAACTGCACTTTTGTAGCCATCTGTGATAAAGAAATGTAATAGAGTAAATCCGCAATATAACCATGGTTAGCTTTGAACTATATATTAAATTCCTAAGCCTCATTTGACAATGCCCGTTGCCTTGATAAATCCTCATCATTCTGAACCACTGACTGCTGTAACCCTGATGCTGCTCTCTCTTTAGTTTCAACATATGCTTCTTTTCGGGTGAGAGTTTCAGTTTGAAACTTGGCACTGTAGTTAAATAAGCATATTAAGTTTAGACAACTTCAGAAAAAGTGAATATTTATTTGTGTAATGGTACCAAGTTACAATTGTGATGTGTATGGCTACTAAATGAAAGGGTTCAGCCATAATGAATGACTATCAAATGAAGGCAGAGTTACTCTCAAAATAGCCTTATTTGAATGTTGCTAAAGCAAAGATACTGTAAGATCAGGCTGAGGATGCAGAGCAAATGTCTGAAACAAGTAGGCCTTTGAACATCTTGCTTACATATGTTCAGTTCCATATGGGTAAAAGTCCTATATTTGCATTATGATGTACACGCAAAGCTCAACTTAATAAAGTTACAGTATCTGTACTTATCTAATGTATGTTTACAGGAATATATATTATCCAAGGCAGAGCTGTTCAGCAAATCTAGGAAGCCAGATAAAGAGTGACAACAATTCAAAGCCAAATTGGGAGGGTGTTTTATTATCTGTCTCTCTGTCTATCTTCTTAACTGCCATCTTCCCCATAGATGGGCTTTGGGNAACAACCTTACAAGCCTAACACTATAAGTTAGGCTGCATAGGAGCAACCTGTAAAGTCTATGCTGTTGTCCATCCATTCAACTTGCAACAACAAATGGGTTACCAAAACACAGCCCTGAAAATTCTCAAAATACAGTTTAGAACAGGGGTCTTCAAACTTGGCCCTTTTATGACTTGTGGACTTCAACTCCTAGAATTCCTCAGCCAGGCGAATTCTAGGAGTTGAAGTCCACAAGTCATAAAAGGGCCAAGTTTGAAGACCCCTGGTTTAGAAGATCCTACTAAATAGCCATATTATTCAGCTAACCTCTCTAATTTATGTAGGGATGAGATTGGAGGCATTCAGTATGCATTCACCAAATATCACTGTGATTTAATCCTAAATTTGCACAACGGCTATTACTATAGCACCAGCAGCCACAACTGGTGACCAGTTACTTTAAAACTGGTTAACTCACAAGCTTCAGATTTTTTTTTCCTAAATAAACAGCTGTCACATTTCTACATAAATCAATCATTGAGATATAAATTAGTTTCAGGCAAGTTTATTATCCTAAGGTAAAAGATTTCACTAAACACATCTAATTCGGAATTTAGTCAGAATTTAGATCTTTGAAAATTCCTACTTCCCACAGTTAAGCTAAGAAACAATAGATTTATATAAGTGGGCAGCTTATTTAGATTAAGATTTATGCAATTTATTTAGATTGTATATTTATGCAATTTACAAATCTGCATTTAGACATTATAGTGGGAAATGGCCATTTGGCTTTTAGATTTTACAGCACCACAACTGAAATTGCTAATAATCATCTAATTTAGATTAATTTTTTTTTTAAAAAAAAAATCAAGATCTCTTAAAAAAATCCTCAGAGTAAAATCCTAGAATCAAAGAAAATTTCCTTCCTGAAAATATTGAAACTACCCATCTTTTCGTGTGTGTGTGTGTGTGTGTGTGTTTATGCTATACATACATACCTACACACACATATATGCATGTATGAATAAATAAGACAAGATTAATTATTTCCCAAATATAGTTGTGTTTCACCTGGCAGTTTGAGGCAGCCCATTGTACGTGACAACATTGATTTTACTTTTTCCTCTGTACAGACATCTATGTAAAGAAATCCATTAGGCAGACAGTTCTCATCTCTATTGACTGACAGACTGACAATCAAATATTGTTCACTTTCTAAACTGACTGACAGTTAGACACTTAAACAAGCCTTCAAGTTGCAATAATAGTATGAAACACTTTCAATTACCTGAATCAAACAAATCCATGATCCCACTAGTTGAATATATTTTTACTGTCAGCTCCTTTGCCTGGGATGATTTTTTTTTTACACTGTGCTATGGGTAATTCAGACTCTTAACAAAAAGACTGCATATAGCAAAATGCAAACCATGAATACTGAAGCAAAATATTTCTTCCCTTTCATATGTATGTGAATGAAATGAAAAATAAAAGGTCACAATTCTGCAAATCAGCTTAGCTATTTTAAAAACTTCCTTCACTGTTCTAAAATAAGATTGGACCCGGTAAGCATAGCCCTTTAATCTGAAATGTAAGTATCCCCAGTTATCAGTGATCAGCCTTAGAGCCAATAATGTGTCAATTGTAGCCATTTTAAACAAGAACATATAATTCATATGTATTTACCTGTTTATGTGCAATTATGGGAAGAATGGACAAATTCATTCTGATGATAACCCTTGGCAAGCCACTATTATGGCAATTTTACTGATATAAAATGAAGAAAAATAATGATACCACCCAGTGATATTGTTAAGCAAGATTTTGAATTCAGCTTTACTCATCTACCAGGGCATTGTGCTACTCTCATTTGAAAGACGAAAAAAAAATATTGTAAATTAAAGCAGTTGCTATTAATTAGAAGCTGTTTTTTTCTAGCCCAAATTCCAGCTATTTTTACCTTTTAAGTGCATTCTAATGAGTTAACCCCTCTCCAATTAAGATCTGAATTCTACTGAGGGCATAGGAATGAATCACCATGTAAGATGCATGGGAAACTCCAGATAAAAGCGTATCTGAATTCTGCAATTTGTCGAATGAATACCTAAGGTTAAAAGTATCATCTAATGCGGAGGCATCAATATGTATTGCTGCAAGACATTCAGCTTGATCAGGCTGAAATATCTAAATGAACATGCTTAGGAGTTGAACATATACACTGCAGAACAAGCAAACAAGTAGGATCAGGGGGTGCTCTATTGTATTGTAATTGGTTTGACAGAAATAAAAGGCAAAGTCATAGCCCATCAAGAACTGTTCAGTAAAAACACACAAAAAGCAAAAAGATTGTCTTCATAATTGTAGTTACATCAAAAATGGTCAATGCATTTTAAAAGATGCAATTTTATTTTCCAAGGAAACAAGTTTTGAAAATAAATCGTATTTCCATAGATCTCCTTCATGAAAACTGGCTTTTAAGTCAATTTACGTCTAAAGCTACAGTGGAATCTCATATACATAATCATACTCTATGTCTACTACAGTCTTGCTTCTTTTTTAAAAAAAAACAGAAAAAACAAGTTTTTTTAACCAAATTTAGTGCTATTTTGAACTAAGCTTTGAAAATTAGGCAAAAACAATACTTGCTTTTTAATAAATATTTTTATTTTTATTTTTTTAAAAAAACACCCATGGTTTAATGACAATCACTGAATATCAGAAGCTGTTTAAAGATATTTTGCAGCACATTAAAAAAAACCCTCCAAATGCATCCTCCTAAGTAAGAGAAGTATGCTCAAACAATTTTTAACAAAATGACACGTTTGCTATTAGTGTATACAGAATTCCTTGAAATATACGTCAGCTCCCCAGAGTGGGATTATGGTATTTAGTATTTTTTTAATTAGTAGTCAATACTATTTGAAAGAGGCAAGGGAGAATTTACTGTTTGTGCATTGTAAAATGATTCTCTGAGAGGAATCCAGCTGTTGTACGCTATAAAGACAATTGATTTTCTAGAAGCCTATATTTAACCTAAGTTTGCCATATTATGTGAAAAGGGATCATACATATTGATTCCTTTATTACAAATCCTCTTGCATTCAGTAAACATTTAGGACATGCATGGTAAGTTTGGGGTTTTTAGTATTTTACAAAAGTGCTATCTTGTTTTTACTGTTAAAATGGGTCTTTCTTTTCTAGTAATTGTAAATTGTAGGAGCTATGCAGCTAGAATATTACAACCTTTTGTTATTCTTAAGATCTCTAAAAGAACATTTTGTGTTCATTTTCCATTGGTCCTTCCTTCCTTCCTTCCTTCCTCTCTCCCTCCTTCCCCTCTCCCTCCTTCCCTCCCTCTTTGTCTCTCTCTCTCTCTCTAGTTATCTCTCTAATTATTAAATAGACTTGAAGAGGGGATTTAATTCCTTCATAACTAAGATGGGGGGGAGGAGGTGAAGAAAAAATAAGACAAAAGAGAGCACCATTTCACATTTCAGGCATAAGCAAGAGAAGCTTATGTTATCCAGATCGATGAACCTAGAATATTATAGTAATGGAACATGAATTTTATATTGCTTCCTTTTGAACACAATTAAACTTCAGAGAACATTAACATGTACTTTCTGGAACCGATGTAAGCAATTAAAAATTGCAACCAAAATGTTTTGTGAGGCGTAATTACTATAAGGTCAGTAGATATTATTTGGAGTCAGTTTAGTTTATCACATTACAACATGACAGGACATGAGGCAAAAATTATAAATTCCTTCCCTAAATCTGTCCTTTTCTGATTTAGATGGATGAAGAATAATTAACTCTTAATTATTCAGATGACTTCAAGGCAGTTTTAGGAATCAGCAAAAGAATTCAGTCATTTTAACCAAGAAAAGCAGTCTCCTGTCATTTATCAAATCTTGCAACTTGACCAATGATGAATTGAAATAAAAAAAATCTTTATGTTTACGCACAGCACTAACTGCTACCTTAGAGGTGCTTAAGCAACAAAATTCCCTTTAAATTCTACCATATGCAAATTATCAGATGCAATTTGCATTTTAAAGTATTTAACTCTACATATTTATTGGATTTTGAGGCCATGCTGATCATTGATTTATGTGCTTCTGGCATTCATATTTCCATATTTGTATGATTCTGATGACAGTAATAATTCAAAGTTGTTCTTTGAACAATATCTTTAATTACATCCTCAAAGCATCATTGTTTTTGCCTAGTATCCTGACAAAAATTATTTGAAATGAGAAATGGCACCAAGATCTGAAATGTACAAAAGTACATTTGTCCTTGCCTGTCTAATATCAGATGTATGGAGATGACTTTTTGTGAAGCAATCCTTAGCCCTAAACAGTTTGCAGAGCTCGGCAACCTTGCATGTAAATACTTTATTAATTCTGACATACTTTCACGACAAATTCAATCACAGTTCATAAGATTTCTGTTCAAAATGCAAAGCCTGCCCCATTTATTTTGCCGCTAAC